TTTGATATGTTAGGAGCCAAGGAATAGATAGTTCAGGCATTGCAGGACATATGCCTACAGCTCAACTCTCAACAACTCATGGCAGTATGTGGCTGTAATGCTATAACATTTCCTCTACAAAAACTCCAGGGAGACTAGATTCAGCCCATATGCTGTGGTTTGCTGATTCCTGCTCCAGACGAGAGCCAGTTTGCTGGGCAAGCCCCCTGCCCAGCAAATCTCCTTGAATTTTTCTCCCCAGAGCAGATGACTGCCTGGTTGCTGGGGGCAGTCTTAGCCCCTTAGCCTTAGCCAATGTTCGCGCAGCCTGGGGCGTGAAGGTGAAGGAGTTCTTTGTCTGACAGGTCTGTTCCTGAGATCAGCCAGAGCCAAAGAAGATAGGACCCAGGGGGCTGAAGACATTTAAGCCAAAGAAAACCAGAAGTTCTTCTCATCCCTCTCTTCCTCCCTAACCCTCAGTCCATTCATGCTGCCTTCAGCCCTAGTCCCAGAGGTAAATAAATATACATTTTATATCCATCTCAGACAGATTTCTGTTATTAAGAAAGGAAATTAAAAGTCTCTTAAGTGTAGATAATATGCAGTTTGCTAGACAAATTGACAATAGCCAGGAAATTTGAAACATAGGACTCCACACTCCTCGGCTGGAGTGCCTTTGGACTGTAGCATCTCTGGGCAGTGGCCCCATCCCGAATGCCCTCCCAGTGGGTGCCGTTTCTCCACGAGGAACCTGTCTGAGGGCCCTGCCACTGCAAAGCCCAGCACTGGTGTGGCGTTTGTGCGTGCTCTCCCCACTCACCCTCATTGACAGTGGGTGGGGAAGGCAGCCCACTCCCAAACTAGCCCAGCGCTAAACCCTGGGTTACCCTCTCTTAATGGAATCCTCCTCTAAGGGAGACGAAAACATTTATCTCCAGGGAATGTCCTGCCTGCATTCTCCATAACCCCTTTGGTTGTCACCAGGGGAGTAATTATAATTTAAATCAATGGGTACTTGAGAGAAGGTGAACCACTTTGCCCTCCCCCGTGCTTGACATTTTGAACATGGGACAGTGAAAGGTGACTTTATTTATTTATGGATCTATGATGGCTTAGTGCTCAAAAGGGTTCCTGCCAAGAACCACAAGAAATCTTCTTTCTTGGATTGTATCTTTAAACACATTTTTTTTTTACTGGTCAATATTTGGGGGGGTGGAATCCAGTGAAAGCCATATTCATTTGATACTGCATCCATTCTCCTGTATCTCACTGGCTATGCTGAAAGCAAATCCTTTCTCCAGTATTTCTGACATCTGGTCTTAATATTGCACAGTCTTTGTTTCGTGTACTTTTGATAGACAACATTTTTTGTGAGCATTTTGTTATTAGATTCTACAAAATGTTGATGTTAATCTGTGCTGCCCTGGTCTGCATGGAACACAAGGTCAGACTGAAGCCGTCCTTGGGAGCATCTTTGGGAGAATATTTCTGGGATCAAGCAGCATATTTTGACATCCTGCCAAGGGCGTTTGACTTTGTTTTGTAGAAACACCGTGCACATTTAACCCAAAGGAAAAGTCAGGGTTGCTCTTCGCTTCAAATCTCCTCAGCCAGCATCTCTGCTGCTGTGTCAGGAATGCTCCCAGGTTAAAGGGACAGGTGTCAGGATTTGCCTCATTCATTTGGTGTCCCTGGACCTCGGTTGGGGCGGGGGGTGTCAGGGGGCTCTGTGAATGGATGGCCAGGCTGTATTCTAAAGGGACTTTCAGCTCTTTCTGGTTCTGAATTGACTTCAAAGCAGGAGCTTGTTTTTCTAGAGTGTTCATTCTGAAACAGGCAGACACACGCCCATCCTACAGGTCAAGCTGCTCTACAGTTGGCCAGGCCTATCTGCAAATGGGCAAGAGGGTTCTGAGTACTTACAGAGGGATGCCCACTGTCACCCTCAGTGTTTTTTTTTTTTTTCAGTTTTGCTTTTGCACTTTTTTGCAAAAGATTTATTCATCCACTTGAAAGGGAGAGGGACAGAGAAAGAGAGAGGGGGAGAGGAAGAGAGAAGGAGATCTTTATCTGTTGGTCACTCCCCAGATGGCTGTAACAGCCAGGGCTGCACAGGCCAAAGCCAAGAGCCCAGAGCTCCATCTGTGTCTTCCACCTGGATGACTAGAGCCCAAGCACCTAAGCTGTCCTCTGCCGCCTTCCCAGGGCACATTAGAAGGGAGCTGGATCAGAAGTAGAGCAGCCAGGACTCACACTGGCACTCTTACAAGAGATGCCAGTGTTGCAGGTGGCCGCTTAACCTGCTGCACCACAATGCTGGCCCCCCTTACTGGTTCTAAGGACAATGAGGCACTGATAAAAGTACCACTTATGAGGTATATGAAATGTTAGTGTACTGGAGCCATTTTCATCAAAGATTTTGGGATGAGGAATGGCAGTGAGGTTAAAGCAAGGGGTTGTGACAGTCAGCAGCATTTCCCACCTGGAAATTCTGGGACCTGGCTAAGGTCATGGAGCAAGTTACTCTTGACATGACTAGATCATGGGTCAATGTCTGTGTGTTCCCACTTACAAATCACCTGGGAATGGAATACGGAACTTGATCTTCCTTGATCAGAAATATTGATTATGGGGTGGATGTCTGGCACAGTGGTTAAGATGCTGGGGTTTGTGTCCCACTTCCTCCAAATGGCTCAAGTAGTTGGGTTCTGGCCACCTGTGTGGGAGACTCTTACTGAGTTCCCAATTCTTGGCTTTTCCAGGACCAGTTCCTGCTGATACAGTCATTTGGAGAGTGAGTTAGCAGTTGGGAGAGTTCTTGTCTGTTTCTAGGCCTTTAAAATAAATAAATAAATTTAAAAATGTAAATTTTGAAGGCCATTTATACATACTTCCAATATTTTTCTTTTACATATAAATTAATAAAATTTCAACACAATAGATAATGTAGATTCCCTAGGATAGTGGAAAGAACTAAGACCAGATCATAGAGAACCTGAGAAATGTAGTCATGTGTTGACTTGTGCAGAGTGGCCCCCCAGAGTGGTCCTCTTCTTGATCTTCTTTCCATAGCACCTGATTCATCCCAAGGAAATGCCAAGACTGCTTTTTTTTTTTAAACCCCATACATGTTTATTTTGACTTAAACTTCATTATTCAGTTCTTAATTCACACATATTCTCCAAGTTCAATAAAGAAGAAAATAAAATACAAAAGCACACATTTATATAAGTGAAATTTGTCATCTAATCGAATGTGTTATGATAGAATTAGGAACTACAGATGAGAAAAATCCCAGAGCACACCTGGCCATAGATTGGTGGTACCTCACAAGAGAAAAAGATCTCTTAATCTCTATCATGAGCACTTATTTTCGCAACCATGTTGATGAACTTGCCAAACTTGCTTAAATTCTACCAATTGGTAGAAGGATCTCTAAGATGTATCTTTAAGAGAAATGAGCAAGGTGTAGAACAGGCTGCACAGTGTCCCACTATGTGGATAAAAAAATTAAAAAGAATTATCTGTATGTATGTCTAGAATATATCTAGATGAATATACCAAAGCCAGGAAGGTTACATTGGGGAAAATGAGCTGAATGGTCAGGGTCCAGAGTAGGACCCATTTGATTTTACTGGGCAGTATTTTGTATCTTTTGAAATTTAAACTATGGACCTGTATTATCTGTTTCTGAAAAAATAATTACTTAAAACCAGTAACTGAAAAGATAAATAATTAGTGAGCCCTCAGTAAATGCTTGGTAGTCTTTTGGAGCCCATCCTTCTAAAAGAAAATGTAGCTCACCAAGTTGGTCTGTAGAAATAAGTATCCTAACCCCCCCAGTTACTCTCTACCTCAAAACAGAACACTCAATATCATAACTTCCTTTTCTTAAGATTCATTTATTTATTTGAAAGGCAGAGATACAGAGATAGATAGATAGATAGATAGATAGAAGGATAGATAGATAAATGATAGAAAGACAGAAAGAGAGTCTTCCATCTGCTGGTTCACTCCCATAATGGCTACAACTGCTGGAACTGGGCCAGTCCAAAGCCAGGAGTTTCTTCCACATCTCACACGTGGGTGCAGGGGCTCAAAGACTTGGGCCATCTTCCGCTGCTTTTCCAGGCGCATTAGCAGGGAGATGGATCAGAAGTGGAACAGCTGAGACTTGAACTGGCATCCAAATGGAATGCCAGCCCTGCAGGCATTTGCTTAACCTTCTACGCCACAGTGCTGGGCCCCCCAATATCATGACATTTAACAAAGAATTGAACACTTTTAAAACTTGACTGCTACTTACCCTTTATTTCAGCAGTCATAGCCCAGAGTAATGGCCCAGAAGATAGGCATCAAAGGTAGCTTTGCATTTAGGCGGATGACTTCTCCTGTTTGCAAACAGGTGCCTCCAAGTACAGAAAAGAGAGGTAGTCAATTATTTGGGATCCTTTTGTAGAGGGACAAGCTTGTTTTCAGATGATTGTACCCAGAGGCAGTCTCTGCCTAGAAGGTCAGGGTTAAGGCATATGGCTAATGATGCAGTAGATGAACATGACTTTCTAGAAATGTCCGGGGGCGGGGAGAAGGAAATGAGGGTGAAAGGCCTTTATAATCCTGTAATATTCCAAATATAATTGCCATCTGACTCAGATTGTCTTAAAGGTTATAGTGCATAGACCACTTTTTTAGTGGCATATCTTTGTCATTAAAAAAATAATAGTTGGGAGGAAATGATGTCACCTCAGAGTTTAATTTTCTCTGTAACTGTCTTGTTTTCTTCCAGAGATTCGGGGATTTCCTGGGAATGATGTGGAATCAATGAATTTCCTAGGGCTGCTCTTCTTGGGGCATTGGCTTAGATCTGGCATTGCTTTCTTAGGGACGATAAGTAGGGATGGGGCACAAGCAGCGTCCAGGCAGCTCAGCATCCATTCCTATTCAGTCACCTCCTGGCTCTGTAGCTGGGACAAGCCTGGGGTCACCTGTGAATTTCAGTTGCTGCATCGGTACCGTGGGGTCGCTGACACTGATGTGAAAAGGCTGCCCTGAGGCTGAAACGTGAAGATTTGTATCCGGCAGCTTCTGGTGTCAACACTCAGAAATGTTTCCTTTCCCTTTGCAGAGAGCCCTGTGATGGAGACCACCACTCCCACCGTGGCTGCAGCCTGTTTCCTTGTTTCTGGCTTCCTGGATGAGCCTTCCATAGAAATCAGTGAACCCCTGGACAAGGTGTGTGACACGCTATAGATGGTTTTACCTATCAGAGCTTTCTCGAGAGGACTTTTTATTTCCTTTGCTCGGAGAAGTGCTATTTCACAGTCTCTCAGTAGATGTCAGCAGTACAGCAAACATCCCTGTGCCCACCGAGGAAGCAGTTTTGTTCAAAAGCAACTTTCCCAGTGAAAATACCAGCAGTAAATTCTTTCCTTTGCAATTCTCTTTAGGGGCCCCAGAATCAAAATGGTGAGATCCCTTAAAGTACCTGTAAATACTTAGATACTTTTGCATTTGAAAGACCACCTTTTATTTTCTGCGATGAAAACATCATTTAGGGTTGGGGATTATAGCAACTTTTCAGAATTTTCTGCAAATTTATCTCTCATTTACCCTCCAGGCAAGAGTGAAATAATAGAAGATGTCCAATATTTTGCTTCTTCCTGTGAAGTAAATCAAAACCGTGGGAATGTTTCTCCCTAATTTAATTTACTGCTGTCTCCTCAAATATATCTTTTATTGTATCCAATTAACCCTCTGATTGCTACCACAGACAGCTGCAATGGGGTCAAAGACTAAGGCACAATTTTCTTGTCCAAACAAAAGGGACGATGTGAGTTTGTGGCCAAGCAATATTTTAACGTGGCTATCGACTCAAGGCTTCCCCGAGACCTTTCATATCTAAGCCCCCTCTCCTTGCATCTTCCCTGCTCACCCTCAGGTTTGATGTGAGCTAGGTGAGTACTGCTATGATGTAGGAATGTCTCTGCTTACTTATATCCTATGTCCCTACTATGAAGGGTCTTTAAAATGTTCATGGAAATGCATATTATGAAAAAACTATGCATAAGTTGGATTTCAATTTGCTTGCACCAAAATAAACTTATCTTTCATTTCTATTTTCCATGAACTTTTGGAAGTAGCCTTCTAATATATCATTGTGCTGCAACACTCGGCTTCGGATTAGATTGGCTCTTGGATTTTAGGTTTGCCTTGATTCTGATCCTTATAGCTTTCTATTGAAGCATCAGTCTACAATGGTTTCCTGCCATTCCTATCACGCTCAAGATTTGGTCACAGGGAGATATACTATGTCCAAGGTTTTCAGAATTTATGGCTGAGCTCCTTAAGTAGTGAGCTTCCTAACTATAAGCACTTATTCATCAGTGGTTCGCAAATATGGCTGTACACTGGGTTCATCTGGAAAGCAAACAGCAACTAGGGCAGCCAGCCCTCTTGGTTTGTCCAGGACAGTTTTGGCGCTCAAAGTCCCATGTCCTAGGGTTCCCTTCTGTTTGGGACAAGACATGATGTGTTGTCACTTCACAAGCTAAGACCTACTAGGTTCCATTTCCAGAGATTCTGGTTTAAGTGAGCTCTGGGATTCTCAAAAACTTCCTAGGTGATTCTAATGTGCAACCAAGGCTTTGACCCACACGACCATAGTCAGAAATGCTATCTACAGAAGGGGCTCTGCATCGGGTAAGCTGCTGGAATAGGTGGCATCGTGGACTTTCTATAATGGGATAATTTCCGACACATGAAACCACTGGACTCTCGAGTAGAAAGGACTAGAGTCAGGGCCAGTGTGTAGGGCAAGTGGTACCTGCCTCATACCTGAAACTTACAGGGGTTACTGAGAACCCCAGTAATAAAAATAGATATTTTAAGACATCAAAGTCAAAGCAAGAAATCCATGCTGAATCAAAGACCAAACTTTCAAATAAAGAGAAGACCAGTAACAATGCCATGTTAGCTATATTGGGGCCTGCAGCAAAAGGAAAATCAATAGTATTGGTCCTGTTTTGTTTAAGAGTTTGATCTTTTGTTTGTCATGGATTTTTGCATTAATGTTGATTTTTCAGTGTTACATTTAAGTAGTGTATATCTTGGTTATTGAGTTTTTGATGACCCCTCCCTTAAATTTTAACTACAGAAGGGCACCTCACTTGTCTCCCTAAGTCCAGTTCCTGGAAAGAGTGCCCCCTACAGCCTCATCAACAGCAGATAGGGGTCTCTGGTCTTCTTGGAGGTTACTGTGGGCCCAGAGATGATCAGTTTTCCCCACCCCACTGTCGTTATGAAGACTTGGCTTCCTTGGGAGCAGGCTACAGCACTGGTAGAACCAAATGATTAGAAGTCATAGGGAGCCTACCAGAGGAGCTGGAGTGTGTGGTACTCAGCACCCAGCTGTTTGGATTACCTATCCTAGGAAATGCTAGATGAGCTGCAGGTTTCTGCTGATTTAAACTCCTACAGGTGCAGGCATTGGGTGTGTTTGTAAAGATACCAGTCTGGATGCCCACATCCCATATCAGAGTACCTGTGTTTTATACCTGGCACCACCACAGATTCCAGCTTTCTTTTTTTTTAAAGATTGTATTTATTTATTTGAAAGTCAGAATTACACAGAGAGCGGAGAGGCAGAGAGAGAGGTCTTCCATCCGATGGTTCACTCCCCAGTTGACTGCAATGGCTGGAGCTGTGCCCATCTGAAGCCAGGAGCCAGGAGCTTCCTCCGGGTCTCCCATGTAGGTGCAGGGGCCCAAGGACTTGGGCCATCTTCTACTTCTTTCCCAGGCAATAACAGAGAGCTGGATTGGAAGTAGAGCAGCCGGGTCTTGAACTGGCGCCCATATGGGATGTTGGTGCTTCAGGCCAGGGCATTAACCCACTGCACCACAGTGCCAGCTCACGGATTCCAGCTTTCTATCAATGCAGACCCGAGGAGGCAGCAGGTGATGATTCAAATATTAGATTCTCCAGAGTATAGGACCTCACAGACTGGTCTGGCCAAAGCCAGGAGCTGGGGACTCAACCATGGTTTCCCACATGTATAGCAGGAATCCAACTTCATGCACTGTGGGTGAATGAAAGGAAAGGTGGGGTAAAAGTGTGGAGAGTTATGTAGGGACCTGACTGGATACAGGGCGGGATCTGATAGCAGGTGCTATGGCTTGACTGGACCCTTCGTGATTCAGGTGTTGCCGATTGATGGAATTAAGGGCTGGGGCCTTTCAAAGCTGATTAGGCCATGAGGGCTTCTCATTGTGAACTGGAGCAAGGCCTTTGTAAAAGAGGCAGCATTTGTCTGGCTTGCTCCTCTGTCATGTGAGGACGCAGAGATCCTCTACTCTGGAGAATTCTGCCCTTGATTTTGGACTTCCAGCTTCCAGAACTGTGTGAAATTCTTCATGAATTGTGCAGTCTGTGATATTCTGTTCATGGCAGCACAAGTGGACTAAAACCACAGGAGGCTGTGTATGAGCTTTGTCATCTGTGTGGCTTTGTCCCTGGGAATGTGATGACAGCAGAGAGGGCTGGCATCCTGCAACCACAGATTGTATTGGCTGTGAGCAGAGCTCAGGCCTGGGCCCTGTCTCTTGTGGGACTCCCTGGTGGATGCTGATGGACATGTTCTCAGTAAGGGCTACTCACTAGCCTCAGGTAAGGAGGTTCTTTAAGGCTTTGGAAAACCCAGAATTTGGACAATTCTGCAAGTCCAGGTGAAGAACCTTCTCTGTGCCAGGCATTGCACCAGGACTCAGCCTCCAACCATGAATGAGGACCAGTGACTGCCTTCAAGCGTAGCAGGACAGAGTCGAGGGTCGGGGGTCGGGGTCCAGTGTGGAGCACTTTAGTCCCTAACGGGGCTTAGACTAAGTAGAGCAGAAGATTCAGGAAGGATTTGGAAGGAAGCAATGATTGAGCTGAGACTGTGGAGTGGGCAATGGGGGGGACAAGCCGAGCTCATGGACCCACAGCATAATCCAGGAGGTGAGCAGGTAGGGCTTGGGGGAAATGGCAAGAAACTGAATGGAGCTGGAACTGATGCTGAGAGTCCCATCAGCAGGCCAGAGTTCAACTTTCTTCCAGGGGGCACTGGAGCCTGCTGTGGATTTAATTGTGGGAGACATTTGGTCAGACTTGCCTTTTGGAAAGGGGTCACTGGGCAGAGCAAGAGTGGCTTGGGTAGGGAAGAGGCTGGGGACAGTGGCAGTTAGAACTGGAACAGGAATGTTGGAATCAGATTCCAGCCAGAAGCAATGGGACTTGGTTTGTAGCAGGGAGTGAGGCAGAGGGAAAGTTAGGGGTGGATACATAGTAAATATGAATACATAAATTCATACATTTAATCTTAGACTTCTGTGCACAAATGTTTTCATAAGGGTTTCAGATCTATCTAAAAGGACTCTTCTGTTTATTCCAGATTGAGTGAATCTTCAAAATGCTGTAGCCAAGTGTTGCGAGGCCATATCGATGTTTGCTGTTTGTAGCGCTGGACACGCCACACTGTAGAAGGGATGGTAGAGAATAATGCTGTGCCTTCTCCATGTGCAGATGGAGAAGCAAAGGCCCTTTAAGCAGAAGAGGCTCCTGCCTCACACAGGCTGAAGTGAGTGCCTGGAGTTGGGCGGGATCTGCTTACCTTCCCTTTGGCCTCCTTCGTGGGCTGTCAGCATAAGGCCCAGCATGCCTGAATCAGAAGCTCTCAGTGGAGCTGTCAGCCTCTCCCACTGCAAAGCGCTACAGGACAGCCAGTACCCACCTCAGCATTGCTCCGCTCAGAAAAGACTGCAGGGCCGAATGTGTCTGGGAACATGCACCCCAGCTGTCTCCCCTTGGCGCTTGACAGGATGAGTAGAGCCCACTAAGGTATCTCTGAAGATGCCTCCTTAGCTTAATGTCACTTTTTATCTGTAGAGTCTTTCCCCTGCCTCACATGGAACTACTAGCATCTCAGGGAAGCAGAAGCCCAAGCACATCTCCAGGTGATTCTCATGTGCAGGTTGAGGATTTGCTGGCACGGACTAGCAGCACGGGCATTACTTGGGAGCCGGTCAGAGATACGGAATTACAAGGCCCACCTCACAGTTCCTGAATCAGACTGTGTTTTACAAATCCCCACGTGACTGATGAGCACATTTAAATTTGAGGAGCCCTTTGCTAAATCATCCGTTCTCAAACTTGGCTGCACATTGGACTCAACAGATACCTAGGTGCCATTCCTATTG